ATCAATTTTCTTCTTTTGAATTGGTTTATCCAAACATGCAAAAAAATTGAGGCATTCCATTTGAAAAATCACAAGTTTGATATGTAGGTAGAAATTGGGACGCCCTGTATAATGGCCAATAATTTAGAAATGTGCCCTCAAATGTCATGTATAACATCCCACAAATAGATTTTCCCAAAATGTATCTGTTTATGAGTAATATTCCGTCCACTCATGGATGGGCCACCCTGTACAACAAAAGTGTAAACGCTTTTGCAGCCACTATAGAACATTTGCGACAGTGCAAGATTCAATTTTTGTCAACTATACAACCCATTCTGTAACATGATTCTACTTTATTGCAACCAGACTATTTCTTATGTGTATAAGCGAAGTGAAGAATATCCAGGGTGGTTTCAAAGTCGAGTCATTGATTTTAACTGCTCGTAGGACTCGTCAAAAGGAGTTGATATACCAAAAATCACCTATATAAAAGTTGCATAATAAAAGAAATAGTAAAGGATTAAAATTTAAAAAAAAAATAAGAATGTTATTACACAGATTTGTTGATATTCTCGACCACTGTTGTGTAAAATCTTAGCGTTTTTTGTTTACTCCTCTTATCGTTTATCTAAATTTGGCAAACTTTTTGTGTTATTGTATGGCTTTCAGTACGAGTCTTTGGTTCGATCAGTTGTATCAGTCTGATTATTTTGTGCGAAAGAATGGATCATGTTTACGAAAACAAAGAACTAGTGGACGTAATAATAATATACGGAGAGAAAGGTTTCCTTTAAGAAATCATCCGGCCCCACGGATGTTTGTAAATTTAGTTATTAAACTTCGTAACACAGGATATTTAAAAGAACGACGAGGAGGTCACGTTGGAAGATCTGCTTAACCTGTAGTGTTACAAATTGAGGAAGACATTCAAGAAATGGTCGAAAATGACCCAAGAATAGGGCGCAATGGACTCATTTCTTGGCCTGCTCACTCCGTCACTCCCCGAATTTAACGCGTTGAGAATTTTTTCTGTGGGGCTATTTAAAAGAGTTGGTAAATCATGATGGAGCAGTAAATACTCTAGAAGGACTTCCACAGCGCACTGAAAATGCTTGTGATTTAATTCGTGTACACCAGGATTTCATTTTCGAAGCTTGTAAAGAGTCGTGGATTCGCCGAGAAAGATTTAGCGTTATTCGAACAAATGGGGACAATTTTGAACAGTTTTTGTAAAAAAGGTAATCATTTGACTTGATAATGATTTTTGTATATCATCTTCTTTTGACGAGTTCTACTGTCAAAATAAAGAACTCAACTTTGAAAACACTCTGTATAACTAACATATTACATTTAAATCTCTGAAATGAAATACGGACAGAGTCGAATGCTTTACCCAGAGTTTGTTCCAGTAGTCATATTAGCAAATTTCCCCGAAATAATTGTAAAGTCTGGTTTTATTGGTGCAAGCGAGTATTTAAAACATGACACATAAAATGGGCACACCAATTTTTGTAGAAAAACTTTTTATTTTTTTATTTAACAACAAACAATGAGAAAACGTGTTTTTGAGGATTCAATCGTAAGTGTTGACAGGCACGAAAACACTTTTTATAAAAGATTTGTAGGTATTTATGAGTCACACGTAGAAAGATCCGACTAATAATGAGACGATGATTTCACCCAACTACTTGAAATTCTTTAAGTCCGTAGGATTTATACTTCTAATTAACAACAACAAAAAATTGGAGTATATTGGTCATGTAGTTTTTTGAGAATTTCTAATTATTTATCCCAAAACACCTGTTTTCCGGCCAACACTACTAGTTTATTGTGCAATATACAGGGTTCGTTCAAAGAACATTTAATAGGCAAATACACGTGTTTACCTTGCCGTTATGAATCACAATCGATTCCGAAAGATAAGTGTTATTTTTATGCGAAAAACGAAGGTTACGTTTTTTTCTTCTAAACCAATTCAAACATTTCGTATTCGATGTTCGAAAAACTTACATTACTATACACATTTTAAAACGGATGAGTTCTATATTCTTTTGTTGCGAATTACAAATACAAAATGTTTGAATTTGTTGAATAAACTAGTAGTGATGGCCGGAAAACAGATGTTTTGGGATAAACAATTATAAATTCTCAAAAATTACTTGACCAATCTACTCCAAATTTGTTGTGGTTATTATGAAGTACGAATGCTACGAATTTGAAGAATTTCAAGCATCTGCGAGAAGCCATCGTCGCATTACCAACAAGTACTATATCCTGCAGTTTACCTCGGTTTTGGGCCATAACTTTTTTGCTATTTCGTCATATCTAAGGTTTTATTAATCAGCAAAATGCCTATCTTAGGTTTTACGATATGTTCTAATGAGCCGTATTCATAAAAGAGAAGCATATCCTGGGAAGCTTAAGGTAAAAATAAAAGGTCTTGCTTCGGAGAAAAAGGTAGAAGTATAAGCATATCCTTGTTTTCATATTCATAATGATTACCTTATACTCGCGAGGATATCCTCCAAGAAGAAGTAAATGGTTGACTGATATTTCTATCTTGAGCGACATATCCTGACTTGTTCTAGCTTGTAGTTGACGTGGGAGTTCGTTCACTCAGCATTACTGACAGTTGTACTCCAGAGCTTATACAGACCGTTCCGTATTTTTACTGGTTACAGTTTTTTAACACATTAATAAGCATTTCATCCTCAAGTGATGAGGAAACTATAGAAAATAATGACAACGAGCTGCAGTTCATCGCAGATGAAATTGCCATTGCTTCCATTATTTTGCAAAAGTCACAAGTTCCAAAACTAAAAATGTGAAAGGGCGATGCCTTGAAGAAGATGTTGAAAAAATATGGATCAACATTCGGTAAACCATTAGATACTAAAGAGATTAAAAAAAATCAACAACATGAAATCAAGATTGAAGAAAAAAACAGATCTAAAAAAACTGGTAATAAAGCAATTAAATTGTTAGATTGGGAAAGAAAGTTTCTGAAAGCGATGGAAGGTGACTGTAATCCTACAATTGGGAAAATTAGACGTGCCATTCAAGTTGGTAGTGTTCAAGAAGAAGGAAGTGAACTATACTAAGTGACATATAAATCCGAACACCCAGTTTAAATGGTTTTATTTTAATAAAAGTTGGTGAATGTATTTATCCTACTGTAAGTGAAAAAATTTTCAGCCTTATCAGTTGGACATTCCGGTTTTTATACTGCTTTTTTTTAATTCACTAACGCTCTAAAAATGAATATTTCAGCCGCAGTAAAGAATCAACGTTGGCGGATTTTGGTTCTTGACATCCTTTACGATCGGTTACGATGCCTAGAGTACGGAGACCTGTACGATTTCGTCAACTTAGTGAGTTTGATAGGGGCCGTATAGTGGGACTTCGGGAAGCTGGACTTTCTTCTCGGGCAATTGCAGTTAGAGTGCAAAGAAGTGTAGACACTGTGGTTAGGTGTTGTCAGGCATGGCTTCGAGAAGGCCGTACGCAAAGAGCAAGGGGCACTGGACGCCGCCGTAGAACAACAGACCGTGAAGATCGCCGCCTAAGAGTATTGGCCTTAAGGGACCGTTTCTCCACTACCAGGTCCATTGCAAATGAATGGTTTGCAGAACACGGAAGACCTATTGGCATGCGAAGTGTTTACCGACCAATGAGAAGTTTTGGCTTGTTTTCATACCGGCCACACTGGGTCCTCCCTTTAACTCGAGAACACCGACGTAATCGCCTTGAGTGGTGCAGACAACGATCACTCTGGGATCAGGAATGGAACAGTATTGTCTTTAGTGACGAGTCTCGATTTTGTTTAGGCATGCACGATGGTCGTGCCAGGGTTAGAAGGCGACGTGGTGAAAGGAGGAATCCACAGTTTTTTGTTGAAAGACATGTTCATCACACTGTTGGAGTTATGGTTTGGGGTGCTATAGCTATGGTTCCAGGTCACCTTTAATCTTCATCAGAGGTAACATGAACGCGCAGCGTTATATCCACGAAGTTCTAGAACCCCATCTTTTACCCTATCTTGACACCCTGGCAGATCCAACTTTCCAACAAGATAATGCCCGACCACATGTTGCAAGAGTCACAATAGACTTCTTTCAACATAATGATGTCACATTGTTACCATGGCCACCAAGATCTCCCGACTTATCCCCAATTGAGCACGTGTGGGATATGATGGGTAGGAGATTGCTCAATTTGCAACGTCCTCCTCAGACTCTAGAAGCACTTCGAGAGGAGTTGGTGGTTGCCTGGAATGAGATACCACAGGAGGACATTGACCACCTGATCAGAAGCATGCCTAGGCGCGTTGGAGAATGCGTAGCACATCAGGGTGCATCCACACATTATTAAAGGTCAAAGTGCTTTAAAGCAGTGCAATCATTTTGAAATTTTTATCATTTACTTATTATGCTTCATTAAGTACTTATACAAAATTTTATTAAAATAAAACCATTTAAACTGGGTGTTCAGATTTATATGTCACTTAGTATATATACCGAGCGCAGTGAGCAGACAGTTAGCATTCCAGTGCCAGTAATTCAGAAGATATTGCCACCAAAAAGAAAATTAGCAGCAGAGAAATACGAAACTGAGGAAACCAAAGGGTTGACTACAAAAGAACTGTAACGTCTAGTGCTACTACAGCAGTACCAAACAAGTATTTTACAACAAGAATATTATGAAACGAAATTAGAAATGATGCAGCGTCAGAAGCCACCTGTAACTTGATATGATATTCACGAAAATAAAACTTATTATAACTTATAAATACACATTAATCAGTAAAAATATTTATTATAATACTCAAGTTTCTTTTTATTTGTTGACCTAGTTGGCGGAGAGGAAGTTCGTCATTCTCATGATTTCCTTCATCTTCATCTGGGTCTTGTTCAACTAACTAAAAATCAGGATCGCCCAAGCTCTTCGCAACATGATGCAATACAATACAAGCAATAATTATTTTCGGCACATTTTCCAACTTTATGCGGCAAACATACTGTAGGATAGGAAACCGGCGTTTCAGTTGGCCGAAACAGCGTTCACTTATAACTCTTTCTTGTTTTAAAAGCTTATTATAATTTATTTCTGCACCCGGAGTAGGATTTATGAAGGGAGTCATAAGGGATGGCTCAATACCATAAACGCCATCGCCAAGTAGTACAACATTTGCTTTATTTATTAGTTGTGATCTAGTCTGTGAATTTCTCCATATTCTGGAATCATGCACTGATCCAGGCCAACTGACATCAACACTTGTGAACATCTCTCTGGCATCACAAGTGGCTTGCACATTTAAAGTAGGTTTCCCTTTTCGGTTGATATACTCATCTCCATGGCGATTTGGTTTCAGAATTCCTATATGTGTATAATCAATTATAAGAATTGCTGTCAGAAATTTATACATGCTTTGCCATATCCGCTTGGCCTCCATCAGTTCATGGATGGTAGATGGAAACTTGATCCATTCGTTCGCCTGTGCAACTATGCTGTTCGCGACTCTATAGGTATACAGTCCGAGATACCGTCGCTTGACTAACACCAAGTTCCTGACCAATACCTTGTTGGTCACCGAGATAGCGTAGACATATCTTCATTTTATGAATACATGAAAGTGCTCCTCCTCGAGTTTCCTCATTCTCAACTAAGAATTTGTCCGCAAGCCATTGAAATTTGCTTCGTCGAACCGATATAATTTTTTGAAGTCACGACCGAGTGAAGGTAAACGAGGTATATAGATACGCTTTAACATCCCTAACATCCACAATTTCCGCCATCTTCGTTTGACCACCTTTCGTTACGAAGTTGAGTCTGCTACTGACCACACTCAGAATTTTTGAAGGATATGATTCCTATGCCAAGTACAAGGTGAAGATTATCAATATCCTTTTACTTATGTCACTGCTTTAAAGGACACGCTTATACTCAAACAGCAAAAGCATTTAGGATTTCCTTCAAAATTTGCAAGTACAAGGATATCCTTTGTTTTATGAATACGGCTCAATATGAGAACAGCCTTAACAGGAAATTTATTACACATGGCCTATAACATGAGAATAAGGTGATTTTATAACCTCTATAGCTCAACACAGAATTATTTGTAGGTATTTTTTTAATCGAGACCAGAAAAATAAAGAACCAAAAAAGCTTTGTTCAAAAGAATATAGAACAAACAAAACAAAATTAACGGTAACTGCTTAAAAATGTTTACCTAACGTTTATTTCTTTCGTCGCAGATTGGTGTATGGTAGATTGTCGAAGTAGCTACTAGTTTCGGTCACGATCAGTGGACGTTCATCTTTTTTTCATACAACAGCTGTGAAATTCATCTTTTTTCCCTGAACAGCACATTTTCAATTGGGTATAACTACGGACTGTCATTGTTTTTGCTCGATTGCGATCCCCCATGGGATTGTACTGCGTTAAGACTACATGTTGCCGGTTCTAACTGCAAAACATCAAATTTGTGACATCCATCTTTTTCCACCTGTACCCTTCAGTTACTAAACGACAGTTGTACAAGCGTTTCTTATAGCACCACTTTGCAAGTTGGGAATAAACGTGTAAACAACAAACCCGCCTTAGAAGGCTTTATGTTCCTTATCAAGAATATTCCCTTTTTAGAACTGCGTAATTCCTTCGTACTAATAGAACAAACGAACACTGCAATACGTTAGTTAGCGCGCGCGTAAATTTTCACAGTTCCAACGCAATTCGGCACAGGTTGCCTTGGTTCTAGATACATAAAACTTTATTTACAATTGTGTTGACATTGCTTAAGCAAAATTAGAATAGGGGTATGCGTTAGAAAAAAAATTTTTTGAGACACCCAAATAGAGTTAAACTATTATTAGATAGGAAAAGCAGTCAAGAAACTAGGATATCACATTACCGTGTCAATACCCAGAAGCTGCAACGTTACCCTTGATCCAGAGGAAACCGAGCAACATGACTACTTTAGCACATGAGAGGAAGTTAAGCGGTCATACAGACCTGGATTGTTACATCAGCCAAAAGCCGTGGTGTCAACATCAAAAACGGTCGCATTTCCCCTGACAGAAGAAACCGAGCAGCAATTAACACAACCACCCCCTGAACCTGTCAATCCGGCTCTAAAATTCCCATAACAACTCCCTGAAACTGGAAGCGTCACACCTGTATGAGCCATTCAATTAACCTATCCTTCTCAACAATTATGGAGATCGTAAGCTATTAGAAATATAGATATACAGGGTGTAAACGTTATGATAGTCATTATTTAAATGGGTGATAGAGGGGATTAACAGGAGCAAAAAGTTTTTTATAACATGGGGGTCAAAACGGCATTTTTTTAGAGAAAAGTGACTTTAAAGTAAAATAAAATTTGTTATTTTTGGCTCTTAGGTATTATTTCATTATTTGATAATGTACTCGTGAAATGCAAACAATTAAAAAAACGGACTTACCACTAACTGTCTCAGCGCTTCACCTGGTGTGTGAAAGTTTATTGAACGTATTAACAAAAACCACTTATAAATAGGGAATACAATTTAGATACATACATTGTTTTTCTTTTTAAAACCCACACTGCACTTTTTTGTATTTAAAGAAGGTGTTCAAAATGTTGTCCTCCACTTTCCACACAAGCTTCATTACAACGAATCCAGTTTCTTCTTACTCTAGGTCCTCGAAGTTGTCCATTTATTATTTCAGCCGCATTAAAATGTTTTTCGCGAAGTTGTACTTCAGTAGTTATTGGACCAGCCCCATAAACCAACCTTTTAAGTTCTCCCCAATATCAGAAATCCATCGGACTGAGGTCAGGAGATCTTGCTGTCCATTTCGACCGATCCAGCGGTTTGAATAATGTTCATTCAAATACTGAATGACGCCTCTAAAAATGTGTGATGGTGCCCCGTCATGAAGGAACCATAAAATCTGCCTCCGTTGTAATGGCTTGTTGTCTAAGGTCTGTTCCAAAAGTTCTGGTAGGTTATTGGCTAGAAAGCTAAGGTATCCTTCTCCTGACAACTTTGGGGGTAACTCGAAAGGGCCAATTACCTGATCGTCAAGAATACCCGCCCAAATATTTATTTTAGTTTTTTATATTATGGAAATTTAATATCCCGTCTCGCGTAAAAGCACATTCGTCCGTCGCTAGAATGTTTTTAAAAGAATCCGGATGTTCAACGTTTTTGTGCAGAAACCACTGACAGAATGTTAGTCTGCGAGGAAAGTCTTCTGGTAACAAAGCCTGCACTCGTTGTACATGGTAGGGATAAAGCAAATTTTCCCGTAGGATTCTATGGACTATGGTGTGCGATAGTCCTACGCGGCGGCCTAATTCCCGAGTGCTGATATCTGTATTGATTTCCACGATATTTAAAATTTGTTCCTCCTGCTCTACAGTAACCTGTCTTTCACGAGTGCAAATATTAGAGGGCTGAACACTTCCTGTATCTCGAAGTCTTTGGTACACTTGCACAAATGTCCTTTTGTCGGGGTGTACTCGTTGGCGACAGATTTGAGCTGTAAGGTTTGATTTCTGACAAGCTTCACCGTAACCTAACAACATGTCGGCGAACTCTTGATTCGAGAACATTGTAAATCAACACGACGACGTACGCGAACAATAACAAAACAACATACTAACCACTGTTCCCGTTTGCGATCGATTGCCGGTTCGATAAGAGTGATGATGCCCGACGCGCTGTTGTCATGTGTGTTTTAAATATTCAATTTAATGAAACTTGCTTACTGACTACAAATTTTGGCTTAACTTAGAAAAACTTGATGCGATTTATTTGTTAATTACCCAATTTAAAAATGTTTTAGATTACATTATAAAAATTAGTAACATTGTGGTGATTGTGGTCGATATAAAGCACTTAAAGTTATAAACTATAAAGCCATTTAGACAAAAATCTATTGACTTGGGTCATTTGAACTTTTTGACTTGTTTTGACCCCTTCTATTACCCATTTCAATAATCACTACTGTAACGTGTACACCCTCTAAGTTCAAAGCATCATTATAAACATGGGTCACGACATTCAGTTCTTACTAAAACGGCCAAAAACCTTGAAAATGTTTTCAAGTTTCTGAAACGCCGCTAGGGGGCGTAACTGCAATCTTGAATCTAAAAGAGTGATGCTTCTGTGAAATCCGCTATATTAACCTAGCAAAAATACCTGATCTTCAAATTCGAGGATAATCTGAACCGTTTTTGTTGGACAATTTTTGCTGTATCTCTAAAAATAAAGTGGTGGGGGGTATTCAAAGGTTTCCGTAAAAAGCACCCTGTACAAGAAAAATATCCGGAATAGCATTGCAGTGGGCGGAGCTTGTGTAGCTCACATTTCTGCCCCTAGAGGCGTACACCGCAACTCATTACCAGTTCAGTGCCACCTGAGTTGTCGATCTGGCTTGTTTCGTTCCTCTGTAGTCATTATTTTTGCTAGTTTTTTACGATGGCAAGCTTCAGTGAGCAACGTGCAGCTGTGAAATGTTGCTTTCTAATTGGTAAAAATGCTGCTGAAACTGTTTTAATGTTGAAAATAGCTTGCAAAGATGATGTTATGGAAAAAGCTCAGGTGTACGAGTGTTTGCTCGATTTAAAAAATGGCGACATGTCGATTGATGACGTCCATCAACTGTCCGAATCGACGAAAATGTTGAAAAATTTCGAGTGCTTGTGCTATTTGGAGGTTTTAAGACGATTGCGAAACAGTGTTCTGCAAAAAAAAGACCCGATTTGTGGCAGTCAGGAGACTGCACCTGCGCACACAGCCATCTCTGTTCGACAGTTTCTGGCTAAAAATGGCATAGTTCCGCTGCCTCATGAACCTTATTCGCCTGACCTGGCTCCGTGTGACTTTTTCTTATTTCCACGGATGGAAAGGGGCATGAAAGGACGCCGCTTTGACGACTTTGAAGAGGTCAAGAAAAAAACGAGAGAGGAGCTGTCAGACATTTCTAAGGAAGACTTAAAAATGTTTCGAGCAGTGGAAGTACCGGTGGAACAAGTGTATTTTGTAGTCGACAGTATTTTGAAGGAGATAAGGTTACTTTGTGAAAAAGTTGAAAATAGCATAAATGGCTTTTAAAAAATAATTCCGTTTTTTTTGGTGCCCATACTCCTATCTTCGAAACGGGTGATCCGATTTAAATAAATGTGATTGTTGTGGATGTTAATAATTGAATTGTGAGAAAAACAAACTTCATCTGTAAACAATATTCCACCGAAACCTGGATTCCTTATCATTGTACTGCGTAACCAATCAGAAAAGGCTAGTCTTGAAGGCATAAGTACCCTGGATAACTCAGAATATAAGAATTTTAATCAGACTAAGAGATAAAGCTCATAAAAAATTTCAAAC